GAATACAAAACCTGTGTCTGAGTTAGGTGGACGAATGGGGATACAATTTAACATCATAATCAACCCAGGACAAGTAGATAAGAATTCTGAATATGAAGCATGTATAAATTAAGTAAGTTGAAGATTTCCATATAGATCATGTGTGAATACATCTATGTAGTCCTACTTGCTGGCAACATTTCTAACAGAAACTGCATTTACATGTTAAAACGGGAATAAGTATAGGCACTTGTAGATTCTAGGTACACTTCTTATGGATCAGAGGTCAAAAGTAGTGATCATCAGTTGAGAATGGTCCTCAGCCTCTGTTAGTCAGATCCTACCTGGTTTTCATGAAAAATGAAATGGACATCCAGGCATTGATACTTAAGTAACAGTAACAGTGCTGGGCTGTGATCCAAACAGATTTTCCTTTAAGTTCAGTAGTCTGAGGACCAGGCTCTTAGAGTACTGCCTTGTTAAAACATGTTCTTGCTTTACTTTCAACCACATGGATGTTTGTGTTCCAACAGAAATGGGATTAGAATCTCCAACAGTAGCCGGGAGGTAGACACAATTTAGAAACAGAATCAATACCCATTTGTAGGTTTCAGGAGCTGGTTGGTTACACCAATACATAGGTGAGAGTGTAAAGGGTGAGTTTTCAAAGTGTTTCAAAGTTTTCAAATTATATCCCAAATGGACCTGTGGAGATGCCAAAATGGCATCATCTGGGCTATTTTTTCTAGAACAAATTGAGCAGGATGTCTTTACTAAAAATAATTTGGTGAGTGAGTTGGATGGCATGAGGGAAATCCCAATGTCACTTTCCTCTAAGGAATAGACACACTCCCTGTGCCTGAATGCAGTGTGATAAGAATGACCACTAGACCCAGAAAAGAATAGCACAACTATTGCTCTAAGTGAGCAATGCTTAACCCCTTATTCCTAATTTAATTCTTTAATTTGGCAATAAAGCATAAGGAGTTTTGGAACATAGAAGGGGAATAGAGGTGCATGGGAAAGCTCTCTTTACACTAAAATTGGAAGGAAAGTCATGAGTTTGGTGAAAATCACGAGGAAGAACTTAATTCAGCCCTTTCGAACTTTGTGCAAAATTATTAATCCTGAACGCTTTCTCTTAAGAACAGCACTCATCTGTATCATCACACACTTTCTTGAAAATATTATACAAATAAGATAATTTTATGAACCAAAAGTCATGCACCACCAGTAATTTTAGTTTATATAATTATAGTTACTATAATCAGAATTACAGTAGTACTTATTTTTTTCCTTCCCTTTTCTCATTTCTCTTTTACTTTCATTATCTTTCTTTTGGGATTTCAAAATGTTCTTCCCATTTTTTCTTCATGTTTCAGTAAAACAACAGATTCTTTGGGAGGAGAGGTTGGGAAGTGGATTTGTGTTGTGCCTGAAAGGCAATCATATTTTCTCTGTACCATTCTTCCTTGGTCTACCTACCTTGTCTTCACCTTATGATTTTTTATTATTTTTTAAAAAAATTTATTTAGACAAGAATAATAGGTGATGATGTTAGAAGGAGAGGCAAGTCCATAGGAAATCCTTCTTCTAGACTATGAAGAATGTGAAGATTTACAGCAAGGCTTTGACTTGTTCTCCAGAACAAGTACAAGCCACTCAAAGGACTCAAAGGACTGTTAAAAAAAACTAATTTGTCACCCTAGTGTATGTTCACTAATGTACGTGTAAAATACCACCGCCTACCATTAACTAAATATAATATTCTGTCACCCTCTAGTGGTGGGTCTACACCACCATTCTTCAGCTAGTAGTGATGGAAGATGTTCCCACTACATGTCTAGTAGAAGACTTTTTAGCATTTAGGAGTTACTAAGCCCTGGTGTTTGGTGGCCCGTGTGTATGGATTTGTAATTTTGGTCTCCACTGCAATATATCTGAATTTGATCCTAGAACTTTGTCCTACAAATTAGTGATGTAAATTTTCTGTGTTGGTTTGGGGCAGATTAATTAGAGGTTTGGGAGAACTGTTCAAATTATTTGTGTGCTCTTTTCCTGAGATAAGTCAAGAGAAAATTGGCTGAAATTCAACCAGCAAAGTAGAGAACATAACTGTGCATTTGAAGCCCATATTGGACAGTCAAATCCATACTTTCTTAATTCCATTTTTTACCCATAATAAAAGTCCTTGTCTAAGGCTGTCTGATGCTGCACTGGACTAGTGCAATGCCCATTCTAGTCTGTGAAAGCAGAAATTTGGCCCAAAATCATAGTGTGACCTATGTGTCATATGTGCTTCTTGGTTTATTTCACAGCAAAGTGACATCACAAAGCTGAAACACTTGGCATCACCTCTGTTATTAGCTCCAGAAATACTTATCTGTGTTTCTGACCCAGCTGCAGAAAAAAGCTGGAAGTGCAGTATACTGGAGAATGGCATTTAATGGGTTTGTTTATCAAGATTCCAGTAACTGATATTATCAATGTGTTTTACACTGATATTGGACAATTTGGTTTAAGATTACATATGATTTAAAGCATCCCAAAGTTACAGCAAAATACTTGCTCTTAAACTGAAGTGTTGTGCTTTTTACTGGATCAAGAGGTAGTGAAACATATAGAAAGCTGATTCATAGCTTGAGACAACTGAAACTGTCCCTTTTGATCACTTTGCAGAGCTCTTCTCAGAGGTGTAACAAGTGTTATTCATCTCTGACCAGAGACTGTGCAATTCCTCTTAACATAATTCAGCATTTAAAGTATCAAATTATAATATCTATATATGTCTGTAATTTTATCAGTGTGGGCCATGTTTCCACCATTTATGTGTGAACTCAGAATTGTCCAGTAATTAGATTGGTTCCCTGAATCTTTGTTAAAGGGGTGTATGGCAGCATCTTTGTAGTTACAAATGAAATAGAAGTGTGTATCAGTATGTCAGCAAAGGCTTTTTTGCAGCACTCACCTCACCAGGAGGATTAGTTTAGCCAATCTTCCCTTAGACACTTCAGGAGCAATTATTGCTGCTTGGACCACACAGAGCCTGCCAGCTACATCATGGAAAGACAAGCTGTTTCCATGAGGGGACTGCTCTCAGTAAAACTTCCAAGTCTCTCAAGGAAGAACATAGCCTGCACCTCCTGTAACATGTAATAAGCATGGAACACCCAAAAAGGAGTCTCCTGACCATGCTGCTAATTAGCAAACCTTCTGAATTGCTGAAATTTCAGCAAACTTGCCAGTCATTGCTTCTACACTCACGAGAGTGTTCTAAAAATTCAGCTGGAAAGAGAGGGGAAAAATTCTTCCCATGTTTTCATGAACATTAATTCGGTGTTTAAAAAATAATATCCAAATCAGCAGGTTTTCCAGCTACTTTCAGGCTTTTATGTCTGCATCTGTATCCTGCAAACATGCACATAATACATATAGCACACGTGTACACCCACACGCAAGCAGAGCTAGGCAGATCCACAGAGACAGAGATTTGCATGAATTTTTTCATATTCATTTAATTTTCCTTCATTTACTGAAGAAAACAGGGGTGTTTTTTGCTAATGGAACTGCAGTTATACATAGGGAAAAGGAAGTTATCATTCTCATCTTTATCATCGCATATAATGAAGCAATTTCAGTAACGCTCGTGTCAACAGATTGTTGGTGATGGTGCATCCCTCAGAAAGAATACAAATAGACTTCACTGACCCTGGAGTGCTGAGAGTAACATGAAACTTACTCTGACTTGTAAACTGAGCAAATATGACACGGAGATCACAGAATAAGGGCATGTATGCGTCTTTCAGCCTTGTTTTGACAAAGTGACTTTCTCCAGAGGGACATTTCTGCCATTTTATTCCAGCATGTTTCACCTTTCACTGAATATTAATCCCAGTATGACTTAACTTCAAATTATGATTCCCACCTATAAGCATATGGGAGTTAATTCTTAATTTTATTTTCATAATTTATTTGAGCACACAGTTAGCACTCCGGATGTCTAAGAAAATAAATGTATGAAAAACAATTGAGCAAATTGAGTTTAATCAAATGTAGCAAGTTATAAATATTAGAACAAAAAATGTTATTAAAATTCATATTCATTAATGGAGAGGTTTTATTATTAGTAACTTTAAGAAATTGGGCCAGACCACAATATTTCTGAAAACTGTGCAGTTTCTCGTATTCTATGCAGTATTCTTTTAGCTTTAGACTAAAGATAACTTCCCTATATCTGGTGCAGGCTAACATTTATATAGCCATAAGTTTTAGACAGAATTTTTGGGGCCTTATGAATTGGAATAATAAAGCATGTTTTGCTGAAAGAGAAATTATTCAGACTACTCCTATTTCTCTTAATTCATGACCTACATAATATGTTTGATGGCATGGATAGCATTCCAACACAAAATATTTCAAATTAAAGGCATTGGCACAGCAACTAGTGTATTTGTTCCATGCAGTAAAACAGCTGAGAACGGGGTTTAGCTTCTTCATCATGTTAGCTAACTGATAAATAACTATTAGCAATATCAATGTATATGATAAAAGGCCCTGAAAATCTTATCCATGGTTTGCGCATGGGAAAACAAGATATTTTAAAAATCACTACAGAGTTTTGCTGTAACCCACCCTCCTAATTCTCCTTTCAGCTAGGCCATGAAATCTGAGGACAGTAATAGTGGCTGCTTACGTGAAAAAATGTGTCAACCTTGGTTGTCTTGGCTGTGTAAGATATTAGATCAGTGATGGCAGTTCCAAGCTTGGAAAAAGAAAATGCCAGGCTAGACCAGGAAACAAAGGACCTGAATTACTTTTTTTTTTTTACCATGTTGAAGGCAAAAGTATAAGGTGACAGGGATTAATTACTTTTCTAGAATAATAACCAAATTCCATTTCAAGGAAAATTCGACGGTCCAGATAAATGTTTGCCTATGGTGTGTGGCTCTTAGACTTCAGGGGGTAGAACAGCCATATTTGGTAGCTTCTAAGTATTTTCTGACTATTGTTTTCCCCAACAGAGCTACAGCGAACCTGTGGATGTTAAAGCCTCCCCACAACCTCAGATGATGAATTCAAAGCAGCCAGTGTTTCATGGGCCTGCCCAGGCTCACTCTGCACTGTACCTCGGTTCCCACTACCACCAACAACAGGGAATGAATCCTCACATCACTGCCATGCATGCCAATATCCCCAGGAACATAGCGCCCAAGCCCAACAACCAAATGCCAGTGACTGTTTCCATAGCAAACATGGCTGTGTCCCCACCGCCACCTCTTCAGATTAGCCCCCCTCTGCACCAGCATCTCAACATCCAGCAGCACCAGCCGATCCCAATGCAGCAGTCCATTGGAAACCAGCTACCAATGCAGGTCCAGTCTGCTTTACACTCACCTACAATGCAGCAAGTAAGTTGGAGCTTTTCAGTTCTCCGGGGAATTATTTTATTTCTGGGGAGGGCGTGGGGAGGGGAGTCGTCCAGAGGTTGGCATAGTGTGAGAGATTTAGATTAGATGTAATTTTGCAGGTTCCAAAACCATGGTAGTATAGGCTTAGTCTTTCAAGGACAAGAACAAATGAATGAGTTTAAGTAGATGATGGAAAACTGCAGAAGTATCAACAATGTCCATCGTTGTCCATAGATCCATCTGCAAATCTGTGACTACCCTGAAACTGTGAAATGCAAACGTTCAGGAGTCACTCTTTGCAAACAAAAGGCAGGAATGTCTAGAAAAAGATATGATTGTAGCTTATGCTTATGCTTATGCTGTTATCCTTGTGCTGATTGTGATGTCAGAGGAAACATAAAGCAACCCAGGTTGTGTTGAACATGCTAGATTAAGTGAATATGAGTGTGTTACGTTATGCCACATTGATAACTTCATTTTGCTAAATAGATATACCTTCTTTTTACTAGAAATAAATGGGCTATGTCCATGATCCCAATATGGGGCTTTTTGGGGCTTTTTTTCCTACTCTGAATGTTTTAGATAGTTGATTCTCAATGTATTTCCTACGAGTTCTGAGTTAATGCAGACCATCCATGGTATTGTGTCTTCCAGGCTTACAGAGGAATATAAAGAGAGCAGATAAACTGTTGATTTCATAAGAGAAAATTTCCTTTTGTATTATATGAGATCTGACTATCAATAATAACATCTTGCTTTGCAAAGTGGCATTAAAATGAAAATTCTTTGAATGGAATTGCAAGAATCTACAAAATTTGTATACACAAAACTTGTCACTACTGGCTGATGAAACATAGTCATGAACTTGCTCCATGTTTTAAATTTGTCTAAAAATTTGCTAATAAGACATTTGCATTTGCTTTCCAAGCCAGAAACATTTCATCTCAAGACTGGTCTTTAGAGTTGGGAATACTTGAAGACAAACCATAGATTCTTGCCGGGAGAACAATTTAACAGGGAAAGAAATTATCCAAAGCAGAAAAAAAACCCCAAAAGCATTGAAAGCAATCTTTCTGACTGATACAGTTAGTTCTTCAGAAGAAAAATCAAGGTATGCTCAGGATAATTTGGATGTATTCAGAGACTTTGATCTTAATCTCAGGAGTGATTTGGAGTAATCAGGAAGAAAAACTTCCTGAAGTTCACAACTTTTTCCTAGTCCTAGAATTTAATTTTTCGCTATCAAAGAAAGCAGATTCAACAGACTTATGAGCACACATATGTGAAGTCATGTATTCATGGAGGTTTTCCTCCAGTTAGTTTGAGTGTTCCAGGAGAACCATGCTAAAGTCTCAGAGAAATTCAGGAGCTGATCCCAAGCCTGGGCAGCTGGTATTAACTAGAGAAAGTCCCAGGAGGGTATGTCTGGAGATCCTGAGCCTGGAGGAATCCTGGTTGAAGCTGAAGGCTCAGAGCAGTGAGAGACAAAGCAATATTCAGGTTCATTTACTAAACATGAGAAATTACATCTGTGACAGCAACCTGTTGAGATCCTATAGCTATGTTTCAACAAGTTTTTATTGCACAGTGATTCAGTCTTCCAAGTTCAGATTGTTTGCCAGCTTCAGTGTCACTTGTATATTACTTGTCCAATGCAGAAGAACTCCTTATGTCTTTTTCAGAATCATTAGGCATAATTTACTAAATAGATTTGAAAACCTGTCTCTGTTTAGTGAATTAATAATATAGTTGGGACTAGCAAAAGATGTAGTGTAGATGTTTGACATTTACATATTTATACATAAAATATAATTTTTGTATGATTAAACACTTAAGCATTACTCTAAACTCTCTACCAAAGAAAAGATAATGTAATATGAATCTGCTAATGTTTTATTTTGCCAAGTTGCAAGCTTGTAGCATAAGGTGTGTGCATCCACAGTTTGAAAGTACTTTCATTCATCTGTGAGATGTGTGGTATGCAGTTGACTTGTTTGAAGCTTAAGAAAAATTTTTTTAATTTTTTAATTGTTTAATTGTTTTAAGAAAAAAGGACACTTGGTTGTAGAAAACAGGTCTCTACAAGTCAGAATTTAGACCTTTATCATGATGAGTCTTTTTTCTAGCTAAGGACAATTATAATTAAGTAAAAAATGCTGTACCTCTGTGTTCCTGTTAAACTCACGAAATTTAATGTTAAATGCTTTTTAGCAACTCATATTCCTTAGTCAGAAAGGCTGATGCTTTTAATGAAGATACTGTGGTGAGATATTTCTGTTTCACTCAAGATGCTTGTTACTAGTTGAAATGGTGCACTGCCAATCTACATGTCTGTTGAAACACTGTGTAATATCTACAAGCCAATTTATATTTCTTACACTTCTGCTTTTGCTTTACAGCAATGCAGCTCTTGAACTCTGGAAAATCTATGTCATTTCACTTTGGAATATTTGTTTGTTTGGTTTTTTTTTGGCATGCAGCAGCTTATAGAGTTTGTGAAGTGAATTTAAATATAGCAAAATGTATATTATATTAGAGGGCTAGAGGTGTACTAACAACACTTTGATTTAGCGTGACAAAACAGAATAGTGGTATCCTGTTCAGTTTCTTAGGTATGACCCTTTTTAGTCAAGAAATGGTAGAAAACACAACACCAGGATTCCACACTCTGTTAGAACAAAGACAGGTTGGTCACCAGGAGGCAAATATCAGAAAGTCAGGAGACTACAACCTGAAAGTAAGGGCCTCTTTCTGACTCAATTGTCAAAGGACTCTGCTCTCCTTTCTGATTGAAATAGAGCAAATATTCTGGTAATCACAGATCTTTTTTAAGAGGAAAAGATTTAATAGGAGAAAAATGGAGCTCTCCCAGAAGCTCAGTCAAGGAGTCAAGAAGCTCAGCAGTAAAGAGAAAGAGGAAGTACCTCGCCATCTGTCTGGCCTATGGTGAGGAGGGAAAGGGAGGTCTGGATGTGATGTTCAGTCCCAAACAACACTGTGTAGAACACTGTCCTGCATAAAAAGACAGCCAAGAAGAATGGGAGAATATGAATTCTGATAAGGCAGAGAAATAGTTGCCTTTAAGCCAATTTTTTTCCACTTCCTCTTCCCTCAAGTTGTTTTATTTCCTCCCTGCTTAGGTATGGCCACTGTAAGCCTTTCCAAAGACTCTATGAAGGCAGCAAGAACAGAAACTGGTTAACATACCACTCCCTAGGGAGTGACTTGCAGCAGGAGTCATTTTCCTCTTTGGAAACCTCAGCACTACTCATACTAAACAGACTAATACACTACAAGAAAAAAAGAGGCAAATTTTGTCATGTCACACTGCAGCATGGAGCTTAATAGGCAAGAGAAGAGTAAGTCTGCCAACAGCTTCCTAGCAGTCTTCTACTGCAGGTGTTGGCACGCTCAGCTGGCTGGGCACCTTCATTGCAGACTGTGCTGGAGGCATGTTAGAAGTAGAAATTATCAATTGTGGGTTCTCTCTTTTTTTTCCCCCCTTTTTTTTCCAAATATCTCTCGGTGAAATAGTTCATGGCTCACTAATATGACACAACAGTAGCCAGCTCTGCGAATCCCTGCTCTCCCCCACTTGAACTCTGGCTCAGTGACATTTGGTCAGACATTTTCTCCAGGAAAAGGATAGTTTCATATCAAAAGCCACCTTTTAGTATATCTGAAGGACTGCCAACTCCAAGGAAAACCACATAGTCCTGGCAGGCAGGAACACAGTTATCCAAAAACCATTGTGCGTGAAATTCACAAACTCTTCTATGCAAACTTTGAGGAGGGACTGATAAGAAGTGCTGACTTGGGGAGAGAGTTCTATTCCCATTGCTTCCAGAACAATGAGCTGATCTTCATCAGCTCTACAGGGAACAGCATGTCCTTCTCCATATCCAGCACTCCTTGCCTGCACGTGCACAGTTGCCAAATCAAGAGTGACTGCCAGCTGGAGAAGGGCAGTCTCCTTTGAGGATCCACAAAAACTACAGAACATCAAGAAAATCAGAAGTGTTGGTAGCCAAAAATCCTCAGTGACTGCACAATTTCTGTTATTTTTAAAATCAATTAACACTGTGGAGTATGCAGCTGATGTAATGCATCCAAATTTTTCTGAAATGCAATGTAAAATTTTTGTATTAGCATTTCAGTCATATGCCTAGCATTAGTAATTATTATTTCATTTCTTTTAAACAATCTTCTCTATTTTGAGTTATCTAAATTGGAACTTCTTGGAAATAGATTATTTTGTCTTTTTTCTCTTCTGTTCCCACAGTTAATGAATAAATTAAAAAAGGGTCACTACTGCAGACCTTTGGGGTGCTTGTTTACAGTGACAATCCTTTCAACTATAGAAAAAAAGATCATTAGTTCTGTTCTCATACTTAGATTTCAATTAGATCCTGATTTTTATTTTCTTTAGCTTCTAATTCTGAAATGTATTATATTTTTCTTAAATATCATTAACAGGAGCTGTGTTAAAGTTTTACTTTTCAAAGTCAAAATCTGCTCTGCTGTAGTTTTTGTTTTATCCACCTTTGACACATAGGAAGACTCACATTAGGTTTGAAGAGCATGATTTTTGTTTCATTAAATGCTCATATGAGAATCTTATCACTGTATAATTTTTTAATTGATACAGAGTTGTTTCTCTCCAGTCTGTTTCTTCGGTTTAACGTGATGTTTAATTTTTCCTCAGTTGGCCTTAGATGATCTGATTATTAACCCTTGTCATTCAAATCAGCACAATTTCTCCAAAGTTCAGGCTGAAGCAGCAGCTGAAGCTGCGGCCTGCTTTTACTTGCAGGGTTATTCTTTCCTTTCTCTACTCAAGTGGACATTTGTGCCTCTTTCTGAGCATGCCCTGCTATCCAGCCTGTTCACTGTGCTCTTTGCTGTGAAGAGTGATGAGACTGAGGATTTTCTCCCTCCTTAATACACCCAGAACTTGTTAAGGAACAATTTTAAGTAGCCCTACTGGAAGCATCACCTTCCCTGCTCAAAATCCTTCACCCAAGCATTGCATGGGATGGTGAGTTCCATGTCCACCTCTGTCCCATTTCAGTTCACAGGTGGAGGAAGCAAAACTAGATTTTAATGTCTAGTAACCATGGCTGCAAGTACGTATCCATAACAAAGCACCAGAAGATTAATGTATGTCACATTTTATTTTTTTTTAAAATAATAACTCATTTCAGTCTACTTTTAGGTATTTCTTTTCCTTAAGAAAATAAATGTATACAGCAAGATGATTGCATAGCCTGCCAAAAATAATAACCTCATTTTTTCTGGTATATATTTTATATACAGCAAACTCAGGAACATGCTGTATTTGTCCAGATTTCTTCTTCTTTTTTGTTAAGCTTTGTCTTCGAATGAGGTCAAGGGAAAAAAAAATCATTAATATCTGTCAACTTCCTTTATAACCTTAAGGAAAAATCTTTGTATGATATCACACAGACAGATTTTCAATTTCCTTGTGTAATAAACAGATGCTTTAGGATTTGGATGTAATTTAAAGGTTTAAAATATCACATTGAGATTGATGAATAAATCAGTTGTGAAGACAAAAACATTGATGCCTGTTGAAAATACCTCTCCAGACAGGCAGGAAATGAAATTAGTTCCTGGTAAAGTGTGGAGATGAGGATCACTCTTTAGTTCTGCTGCAGGCTTTTTAGGACTTGCTACAGTGGCACAACGAAACTGCTAGGGCTACAGAAATCTAATTAAAGAGCAAATGTCCCTCCTGACATCGAATTAATCTTTATCAAGTTCCCTATTTTTATTTCAATCTGGGACAAGAAAATGAAATTTAAAATTCTAGGCATGTTGCAAAACAGTTGGTGATTTTCTCTTGAGCATTACAATGCAAAAACATTCAGCATTGTTTAATTAGACCTCGAAGCACTCATTTTCTGAGCACTTTTTATTTCATCATTGTTTGTTAAGGGCTTACATAAATAATACCCAAATATTTACCACAAGCCTGGTACAAGGCTGTTTCCCTCTGTTGTACAGATCTGTATTTTCAGAGCTTTCTCTGTTGATGAAAAAGCTGAAGTAATTATTGTTTGCATCTGAAACAGTATCATACTTTATTAGTCATACTGAGTTGAGGTTGACTAAATGACTTTGCTTTAATAAACATGCTTTCCATCACCCACAGTGCAGGTGTTCTGGTAGCCCTCAACCCCCCAGAGGGACCACTGAGACCCTTCTGGGACTGGAGCCTGGCTCAGATACCCCTGCACCGTGTTAGCCCTTATCACCTGTGTGTGCCCTAAGAAACAGGCCCCAATCCCAGGCAGCCATAAACTAAATAGACTTGCCAGGTACAAGATGAAAGCGTTGTTACGCCTTATTTTTCAGGTAGAAGAATTAAATTTGGCTCTGCAGCCCCAACCTTAACATGAGAGGTACCAATGCAGTCCAAACACAAGTGCACATGTGCTTTGCTGGGAGAGAGACAAAGCAATTTGGCTGTGGTCACACAGAAAACCTGAAAAGAATATGAGAATGCATCTGCACCCAGCTCCTGAGTTGAAATACAGGACCGTTCTCTGACATCTAAGCTATTTATCCTAATTCCAGAAGAAATGGAATGGATATTGTACTGGTGGTCTCTTGCTCTGATTTGAAGGAACTGTCTCCTTGCTGCATGAGTGCTGTCCAGAGAGTTTGTGGATGCTCCCTCTCCCTGGAAGTGTTCCAGGCCAGGTTGGGTGGACCTATGAGCAACTTGGTTTAGTGGAAGGTGTCCCTGCCCAAAGCAGGGGGCCTGGAACAAAATGATCTTTAAGGTCCCTTCCAACCCAAACCATCCTATGATTTTATGAGTATCTGAGTCTCTGTGTCTACTCTGTAGCCTGCTTTGCAACTGGCTACTGTCCCTATAGAGTGTTTTTCGTGTATATATGATAGATCAGGGGATTTGCTACCAAAGGTAAATCTGAGTGCCTGAGGGTAGGATGTGTTTCTGTGGTTGATTTCCTCTGACAGCTAAATTAGAAAGGCCTTATGGTTGATGTTTTGTATAAAAATGATGACAATGGTATACAAACCCAAATTTTCTGCCTTCTAATTACACAAAACTCCAATTAAAGTCATTGGGAAATCTGCTCAATTGCTGTTTCCTTTGGATCTGTTGCAGGCATGGGGGCTGTCTCTGCAGGTTGCAGCATAGGTTTAGAGCCTGGTGAAAAGGGAGTGTGCAGAACGTGGGGCTTACGGTCCCCATGGATGTAAAACCCACCACGGGAAGGTTTTATCTAATCTCATTAGCAGTGTGGTATATAAATAACATGGTAACTAGATGCAGAATTCAGCTGTGAACTTGCTCACTCCTAATAGTCTGTTTCTTGGAGTCATCAGGTACAAAGTGAGGTTTCCAAGAGTGTTTAAGGCACTGAAGTGTTACTCAGGATATTCTCCATGTGCAAAAGATTAAGGAATAAAGTTGCAGTCATTTACAGTCTAGACTAAAACCCATGAACAGGATGAGTGGAGTGAGGTGGCAGTGCACATGAGAGGTGGGGCAAAACACCTGCAGGACCTCAGGGAACAGCTAAGGAAGAGAGATGTGAAGGAGGAAGTGACGTACCGTTTGAAGGAAGGTAATTTCTGTGCATAAAGGGGGCCAAGCAAAAGCCAAGAACATTCATTTTTCTTGACAAAAGGTAGTGTGGCTACCTTCTTAAATCTGCAGAAAAAACATCTGTCCACAAATACCCTGTCCTGATCAAGGCTGCATAAGGAAAGCAATCACACACAACACACTAAATTAACTAAATGCTAAGAGAGTTAATTCTATCTATTTGATATGTGGGCTTTGGCTGGAAGGAGTGAGTTTCCAAACTAGGCATTTTGGTGCAAGTTCCGTTTCTGATTTTGTAGCTATGCATCCAGTCAACTTGAGTGGGAATTGTATGCCCTTGCCCCAGGAAGAAGTTTGGTCTGGTGGGTTTTTTTCAGCAGACATTGATTGCTTTTATACAACATTCCCATGATTTTACCCAATGTAGCTCTTCCTACTTTACAGGAACACGATGTACAGGGTGAACTAGATACACTAGTCTTGAAATTTCAATTGTTCTCCTGGGTTTGAAATACAATATTTAAACATCAGAATATATCAAAAGACCTAAAAATGATTATAACTTTTCATATGACAGAAGATTCAGGGCACAGGTTAGATCTCTCTTTGTAACTTCCACTTTTTTTTCTCGTCTCCTTGGTTTCAAAAGCAAGTTATTCTGTGCTACTTTCACTACATTAGTCCAACAACTGTTAAAAAGCTTTGGTTGAATTTCCGTTTAGTTGAGAGAGAAGTGCAAATAAAAGAAGCAGCAGATGGTCCCTTTGTGGCTGAATGAAGAAAAAGGGTTTTGAGAACAATACGTGAATAGGTGTAGTCTAATAAAACAGTCAGCCACCTGCTGCCTACATCCTTCAAAAAGATTCTGTTGCATATTCTGGGAATTAGTGACTAGTGTGTATGCTTACATTTAATCTAAATGGAAGCTCTAAGGAGCAAACAGACCTTTTTGTCCCAGTGCTGATTGAGTTGTTCCCTTGGTTTTGAATTGTTTCTGCTCTGTCTCCTTTAGTTCCATCCTGTGACTATGTAACAGTGAACAATGCTTTGTCAGTGTTTCAGTTCTCAAACCGAAGAAAGATTTTAAAACTTAAGAAGCACCTACACATTTTTGCCTATTTTAGGTTTTATAACTGAAATCACACCTGGAAAAGAAGTATTCTCTACCATTTCACAGCACACTCTGCATTTTTACTTTTTTAAATGCACCCAACCTGTTACTTTTTTTCCATACTTTGTAATATACTTGTTTTCTCTCTAGGGATTTACTCTTCAGCCTGATTATCAGAATATCATCAATCCAACATCAACTGCTGCACAAGTTGTTACCCAAGCAATGGAGTATGTTCGTTCAGGGTGCAGAAATCCTCCAGCACAGACTGTGGACTGGAATAATGACTACTGCAGTAATGGGTAAGCAGCCAGTGAATGCCACCTTGTGTTGAGCAACATTCATGACACAAGTATATGATAGAGAATTTGGATCAGCATTGTTGCTCATTTCCCTACAGTGTTTCTGAAGTGCATCTCTGATGTCCCTGTATTTATTATTCGGCAGTTAGTCAGTTGTGGGAGAACAAGTGTTCAATACATATATTTAATAGACATTGTTATCACCTTATCACAGCACATACACTTTCTAGATCTCAGAGAACTTGCATTCCATAGAAGATCAGAGCTAAAATCCTAGGGAGGAGTAAGAAAGAAGTTTTAAGATCACTGTGTCTCAATGAGAGGCAAATGACATGAACTATTTTCTAGTCTGGGACATGAAAAGTACTAGTTTGGGTCATGAAAAACCACATCAGTGAGAAGCATGACTGATACATGGGATTCAAGATACATGGAAGAGAATGGCATGAAGAACACATGATAGTAACCAGAAATAAAATAGCATGCCTGTAGGAGCCCTATGTCCTCAGTAAAAGGTTAGTAACCCCTTTGAACCTTCAACTTCTGACAGCATGATTTTTGTGGAGCCATGTTACAGTGCCAGGAAATGCCCAGAAACATTTAAGACTGAACAGAAGGTATCTTTTTAAATGTTGTTTTAAATTTTAGATGTTGTGCCTTGTGCCCACCAGCCTAACTTTGCCTTGACTTAGCATGACTCCCCAGAGAAATGGCAGATGAAAGCTCTTTGTTGCTCCCAAAGTGCCGAATCTAGCCCAAACAAATGAACAGAAAGCAGAACTAAAAACCAGCTTCACCCATTACATTTACTTAAACAGAGAATTTCACTTGCCTTATGGTTCTAAAGTGTTTCTGGAACTCAGACTAGAACTGAATAAAAATCTTTTTCTGGCTTCTAGTTCAGTATAACACCTTTGCTACAACCTGCTGGCACTGAGGCAGACTTGAACAGCAGCATCACTCTTCCCCGTACCTATCACTGTTGCCCCATGACTTGCCCACTTGTTCAGCAGAACAGTTTTACTTCTGTGCTCTATCACCATGTCTTGACATGTGCTGCAGGCCCTTGTAGAAGTCTATCCAGCCCACAGACTTTTACAGCCACTTACAATGAGCTCTGAATAGACTGAATAGACTCTGTCAAAAGAGCCATAGCCACCTGTGGATTTCATTCCTGGTCTCTTTTGGAAAAAAGCAATGTGTCATTGTCCCCAGAAGTGCTCTCCAGGTGCGCAGTGGGCATAACTTTCCATCCCCAGCATCTTTGTCTGAGCAGATATGCCTGTAGATAGCCCACTCTGTGCAGATAAGCTTTTGTAAATCCATGTGTGTGGACTTAAACTGTCTTTGCTAAGCTTCTGCTGTCCCCTTGCAAGTGCTCACCTGAACCTGCCATCCCAACATGTTTTAGCTATATCTGTACTAGTAAATCAGATATGCCAGAGGCTCAGTAAGTGCCTGAAACCCATGTTCATGCAACAAAGCTCTCCTGCCTCTAAGGAAAGTGGTTGCTTCTTATAGGGTGCTTATGGAGCATTATTCCAAGACCTGTGCTAAATCCAAAGCTCCAAGCAGTTTTTGATAGTCAGTGCTACCGGCCCACTAGTGCAGGTTATCCCAAACCAGTGTTTAAGCCCATGTCCCAGCCCTGTTCAGTTTTAAAGCCAGATGTGATCTCCAGGTTGCTATATGTCACTATGATTTTTTCTTATTATAACCATGGCAATGCAGCTGTACTTCAGTCATATGCTCGGAATTAATGACATGCAGTGGGGTTGTGGAGCTGTTTTTTTTTTGAAGAAGAGAATAATAGAACTAAAAATTTTTCAAATATAAAAAAAAAAAAAATCACATTTGTTCTCTTTTCTCTTTGAACAGGGGCATGCAGAGGGACAAAGCACTCTACCTTACCTGAAAATCTGAAACACCTCTCCTTTCCACTGAGGAATGCAGGGAAGTCTTTTCATCATGGATTGCTTTATGCAGTCAAGGCAGTTCTGCATTTTATTAGAAAATACAAGTTGCTAAGCACTTAGGACTATTTGAGCTTGTGGGTCACCCACTCTGGAAAAAATAGTCTTGCTTCTTTTCTTTTTTTCTTTTTTTTTCTTCCCATTTTTTCTCTTTCTTTCTCCTTTCCACCCCTGCCCTGAGATCCTTTAACGGACATTGCTTTTCTTCTTCCCTGAAGGAAACTTGGACCATTCAGATTTTATGTTGGTTTTTGCTGTGAAGTGCTGCGGTAGTAACTGCCTTAGCAACTGTAGATGTCTCGGATAAAAGTCCTGGATTTTCCATTGGTTTTTCATAATGGGTGTTTATATGAAACTACTAAAGACTTTTTAAATGGCTTGATGTAGCAGTCATAGCAAGTTTGTAAATAGCATCTATGTTACACTCTCCTAGAGTATAAAATGTGAATGTTTTTGTAGCTAATTGTAATTGAAACTGGCTCATTCCAGTTTATTGATTTCACAATAAGGGTAAAATTGGCAAACATTCATATTTTTACTTCATTTTTAAACAACTGACTGATAGTCTATATTTTCAAAGTATTTGGAGAAAAATAAGTAAAGTAGTCCCAAATTATATTAATTAAAAATATTGGCTTTGTCTCATGAAATAAATACAAAAAAACTTAGGAGAAAAAACTAATGTTGATAAAGAGCAAACACATTTATTTTGTACTGCCTAAAAAAATGCTTTTTTTTTAAAGAAAATCACTTTATGTGTACTGGTTAGTAAACGTCATTTAAGTCCTTTTATGTATAAAACTGCCAAATGCTTACCTGATATTTTATTAGATGCAGAAACAGATTGGAGACAGCTAAATTATAACCTCTACATATGGCTATGTATTATTGTTTCTTCATACTGTGTCTGTATTTAATCTTTTTTATGGAACCTGTTGCGCCTATTTATGAAATAATAAATATAGGTGTTTGTAAGTAAATTTGTTAGCATTTTAAAGAGGTTTCTTTGACGCTTTAACTTTTGCTGGCACAAATTGTTCACAACTGATGTGAATACTTTATTTAGTTTTTACAGTGACAAATATAACAACAAACCTGCTTTATTGGCAGAAAATGAAGGTAACCAAGAACTATTTCTCTATTTCTTTGGTTGTTAAGGAAAAGAAAAACAGGTATTTTAAGTAATTCCCTTTTTAAAGCATTGTAGCAGGAAAAAACTAACTTGCCCAAAACTAAGACTTGGACCAACAAAACTAACTGAATAAAACTGCATAATGCTGCTTCTTGAAACTTCATTATGTTTTGTTAATTTGTCAAGTGGAATAAACATATTACCAAAAGAAATATTACCAAATATGCTTCAGCCATTTTATTATATATGCAAAGTCCTACAGAGCTTTAGGGAGTATATCAGAAATAAATCCTAAAATGAAAGGTAAGTTCTTCAGACACAGGGAAAAGGATAAAAATATCCAAAATAAAGTATTTTGTCAATGTTTGGGATCAGGGATAGCTCTGAAAATACATTTCTGGATGATTTTGTCCCAGATGCCTGTCCCATTAATGGACAGTACCACTGATTTGTATTTTCTGTGTGAAATAAAGGAAGCAGTTCAGATAGAATACACATTCAGCAATGCTACTGGTTTTTCTTTATAATACAAAACAGAAATAAAGGCATGCTTGCTTCTGAATGATTTCAGGCAATGTACAATCGGAATCACTTGGCATGTAATAACTAATAAATAATGCAGATCAGATGTGATTACTCAAATGACTGTAGCTGAGAGCTCTAATTTTCCTGTCTTGAAACTGTATGAGAACTCGTGATTAAATTCACAGTTTATTGTTTGTCTGTTTAGTACTTTAGAAATATACCAGCACTACTAATTACCCAATGTCTTCTATTTATTATATTATAGTAAACTACATTCTCCACTCATATTAATTCTAAAGAGAAAAAGATAATTACTGGGAATAAGAAAAATCAGCTTTGATTTTGACAGGCAGTTTTCCTTTTTCTTTTATGGAAAAGAACTGTGTTATCTTCATTTCTTTTAGAGCAGGTGCGCAGTCACATAAAGTTGTTAATTTCGGTATCCAAGCAGAGTTCAAAATACAAGAAAACTTTAATGTAAATAAAAAAAATACATCATGAATAAAATACTTATTCTGTATGAACCTCTGGCTAGTTGGTTTCTCTCAGTCTGTAAGCACGGGAAGCTGTGGTGTGTTTTCTGAGCAGCACTTTATCCATCCAGTGCTCTGAGTGTGGTTCTGTGTCCGGGGCCTGCTCAGATAAGACAGCTGTGCTAGAAGAGCAGCAGATTTTGGCCATGGGTATCCTGAAACCATTTTTTTCCAAAAGAAACATCCTCAAACTTCAATCCATAAATATCAATTCTTCACATGTGACCTCGAGAAAAAGAAATGGTTGCCAGCCATGGGCAGTCTGCTGTGTGTTTTGGGCTGTGTATTGACAGATATCAATTGCCAATAGATGGTTGGGATCCTTCTGTAAGCAGGTGAAACTCCACTGGAGTTGGTGAAGATGTGCCCCATCCTTTTCTGCAGCACTGTGCCTTAGGCACCACGGTAACACAGAGACCCCAGTCACCGGCTGTAAGTCACCATCTGTCCCAACCACGATAATGAGAAAGCACAGAGGAACTAAACAACCTGCACATGAAAGCAACACAGTAAATATGATAAAAACATCTGTCAGAGTGATAGAAACCAAAGGAAATAGTCCACCATTCATTGAAAATAATGTATTTTTAAATTATTTTTAAAACGTGGTGGACAAAATGCAAAGTTGGCAACATATGCACTCTGCAGGTTGTAAATCCCATCTGCTTGCACAAGGTAAGCAGAGGTCTTAAAACAGAAAAGCACTTTGATTTTACTGCTTCTCTCAGCGTGCCATGTTCTGGTGACAGGAGATATCCTGGTCTCTCTATCCCCAGACTCACATGTGTTCAGGCAGAAATCTCATCCAGCTGCTGCCTCTGACCAAAGAAGCCAAATTCCAGTTCAAACAGGCCTGCCATAGGATTTTCCCCTCACACTCATCCACAAGCAGTAAGTAATGTATTCATTAGAGGGCCCCAGCCATTCACTGGGAAATGTAATGTATTCATGCCCAATTCTCTCTCTCACCAAATACCAGCTCCTGATTCCAGTGGCGTCTCTGCCAAATATTCCCTGTGAGGCTCCTCTGTAAACAGGAAACCCAACAAAAAAAGTGCTCATTACTGCAAGGTAAAACATGCTCTTACCACCTTCCTTAGCCTTTTGAGACATCGTCCCTGAACTATCATCTCCAAGTATGTGTCTGCCTGTTTCTTCCCCAATCCTGTAAACATGGCAGATCCACAGAGATATATTTCTGTGCTCTGGGAAAATGGAGTGGGTAAAAATCCATATTTTGCACATAACTGTGAGAAGTAGCTAAAGAGCTGTTCTGTAGCCCATACAGGAGTTACTCCCCCGGACTCCCATTGATAGGTAGGTATAGAGGCAGATAAAATTACAGATAGAGGTATAGATATAGTCAAAAAAAGACTAGATAGATAGACAGGCAGGCAGACAGACAGATAAACAACCATTACCCTGTTAATTATTTTTTCTGGTGTTTTCAAGCCCTTTTGCATTGGAATAAAATATTATTTTGTGGGTATAGCAGTGTGCTGGCAGTGCTGCAGAAGGTGCTGAGCACCTTGGAAAACAGGAGGTGCTTTGTGTCAGGTCTCGCAGACACCATTTGCTTTCCTTTGCAAACCTATGTATTTTATTATTACCCAGCAGTATATTAAATCACATCTCAAATGTAGCTCCTACTTCACCAACAAGAGGACAAGTGAGAACAATGACTTGTAACATTTCAGAGTCTGTCACAGTTACTGCCTAATTAGAGAAACCCACTAGCAAATGTGCATCTGCATGGATCCTGTGACTGTCATCATTTCACATTCTATTAAGGACATGCTGTGATAGACACTTTACAAAGAAATTTTGTTCAGGCTAATACCAAGCTGGCAATCATATAATCAGCCTGAAAATAAAATGGGAGAGGTGGGAAAAAGAGATAGAGAGGAAGAGGAAAAGAAAAGGAAGCCTACCTATTTGGAAAACAATCTGTGTACAAAAATCCACAGTATACTGCAGAGAAGATCCTTACCCTCTGACAATTGTGTGTTTACAACGAGTCTGAGTATAATTGCTCTGATGGGCTGTCAAGGAAAAGATTAATTTGGCAAAGATTAGTATTGACTTGCTGTTTATTAAGGCTTTTAAACAGCTGTATCTGGCAACATTCCTATAAGTGCTTGTCATGTCTGAAAATCAGGCTCACACCCGGGTGCTTGCCAGCTGTTGCTAAACAATCTTACCACTTAGAGTATCTTTCTCCAGGCCAAACAGAAAGAGCAAAGTATTGCCAAATCAGTCTCTTTCATCCTGTCACTTTTCAGGGGATCTGAGAGCTCAGCTATCAGTTGATGGCTGAACAGGCTGAGCTGATAGCAGCTGCCAGAAATAGGGTAGTTAGAGAGGTGTTTCACCATGCCTAGGGAGGGGTGCTGCTCTTAGTCACCTCACCAACACGGGAAAGCACAGCTTGCAACTGGTGTTATGTGAAGCGGCTTTAAACCCCTTAATGGCTGGGATCCAAATTGGGTATGAGGCAGAACTCCAGAGCACATGGTTCATCCCCTCGGGCTCTGATGGATAAAGCCAACAGGATAGGAGGGTACAGTAGCCACCACTAATCTTTAGAAAATGAACCAACATTTTCTTCTATGACTTTTTTTCCCAGACTGCTGATAAACAAAAGTCACAAAAGCCACGCACACAAAATACCCTGGGTCAGTGGAAACCTGTAAAAGGAATGATGTCAGCTGTTATTTTTGTTACATTACTTAAAATATTTCAGCTGGCATTGTAGGCTTTAGTAGCAAGCTCAGAAACAAATAATACCAGTGGAAAGAAGGATAAACGGCTGCAGCTAAATGCCAATACAAATAGCCATGTGTTACAATTAAAGTTGATTTGGCCTTTCAACTAGAAGTCTGATTTTCTGGGATTAATCTCGACCTTTTCAAGTTGCATCAGGCTGAAATAAGTTGTCAGAACAGATGTGAATTTTGTTTGCAGAGAACAATTGTAATCCAGTAACCCTTAGAACATCAGCATTTTCAGACTTTCAGACTGCCGGCCAGCTGAGCAGTGAGGATGCGGAAGGCAGACACTGAGTGCACACAGCAGGCAGAACCAGAGAACTCAGAGCCATGTCCAGAGGCTGGATGTTTAGTTCAAACTCAAACCAAAATACTGTTCCTTTTAACTCTGAATTTACCAAACAGCAGGGAGATATACAACTACCTGGGGGAAAAAAAATAAAGTTAGATCAAGGATGGATATCTTTGTTATCTTTATAAACCATGTTCTTTAGCTAAATCAAACATACAAGTAGGTGATCTTCCATGTACCACTTTTTCACAGAAGGCTGGGCCCACACTTTGTAATGCACAAGTCTCTGAATGCTCCAAGAATCACACATTTCAGATGCTGCTCTAAACTGCTTTCTAAGTTCTGCCTAACAATCTGCCTGGCTCCAATACTTTCAAAAAAATAAAATAGAAAGGAAGATGAAGAAAACCTCTAGTGAACATTCAAGTTTCTCATACTTTGATACATGAAGTCAAAAATTTCCCAGCTTTATGCATGGCATATATGCTGACCTTGGTGCTCCCATAGTGCCAAGTTTCAGTGGAAAGCAAAAAATGTCCAAAACCTTTCCAATATGGGCTGAGGGTGGGGAC